ACATAGGACATGGCTTCTGTGGGTAAGGAGGGAAATACAGACTCTTTGCGTTGCAATGAAAGGGAAGGGGAGCACCCAGGGAATGTGGCATTAGAAAAGAGAAAATGAAACTTCAAGTATGAAACATCAGTATCTCTCTATATTTACAGACCAGAAAATTAATGCCATGTTGATATTGTATTATGAGGTTTTATGCCTTTATGCAAATCTTAAGCTATTTTGGGACTCCAAAAAGCTCGAATACAGCAGACATAACCTGATTTGAAAGTCACAAAGCCCTGGGGAAAGCTCCTAGGGATTTCAATGAACTCGAGACTACTTCTATTTCCCTCAGTTTCTCCACTTCAAAAATAAAACAAAAACAAACAAACAGGCCAGTACACCTCAAACTCCTAAATACCTCAGCACAGGAAAAGAGTCATCACCATCATTTCTTTTGGTTTTAGATATGACATAGGACTGGGCCGAGAAGAGAGGAAGGAATGGAATGATAATTCTGTAGTAATAAATTTGGATAATTTTAGTCATTTTGATTTCAGACTGACAGTTGACTTGTAACAAGCTCAAGCAACTGTAAGCAGGTAAGAAGAGAAGAGAGGAAGGAATGGAATGCTAATTCTGTAATAATAAATTTGGATAATTTTAGAGTCATTTTGATTTCAAACTGACAGTTGACTTGCAACAAGCTCAAGCAACTGTAAGCAGGTAAGAAAGCAGATTCCGTAGGAAAACCCCACTGCCCCAGAAAAGAATGTTACAGGATACAAATAAAATCTTAATACAAGCTCATCCTTTCTAGTTGGGGGCTGAAGACTAGAGACGAGTCAGTCTAAAACCCACAGCAAAACAAAATACCCACCCCATGTTTTAAGCAGTATCATAAGCTTCTTGACTTCTGAGAATTAAGGTCAAATTTGCACTTTATGTCTTTCTAAATCTACTACTAAACTACTTTCTAAATCCACAACACATTTACATTTATCTCAAAACCACTCAAGGTGGAAGAACCCTCCTAACCCAACAAGAACAAAACTCAGAACAAGGTGATGAGCCTCGACTTCAGGACAGCAGTTCTGGGAACTCGTGCACAGCTCATTTGTTACTGCTCAGAGCTGAACTTGTTTTCTGGCAGGGTCATTGCCAAGGACACCAACATATGACCATGCTGCTCTTCAGCAAAGGGACAGATCCTGCCTGACACCAAGTACCTCAAATGCTCAGCAGATCAGGAGGCAAAGCATCCAGCCTTTCCCATGGTTGACCTCTCTTTAGAAACAGAGCCTGAGAAGTCTGCTTTGAAAATAAACCTTTAGAAAAGCCAGCTGATTTATATATTTTATTTTATTTTTTTAATTGCCAGAAGTCTGCAAAGGCACCACTGGGTACCACATTATCCCATAAAGATGTCAGCTTTTTAGTGATTGCAGCTCTAAAGAGAAGGAACAGACAATAGAGCGCTTCCTTATATGTCCACTGCCTGGGCGCTGGTGACAGACACCATTTCCCCAAATGGTCAAAAAACTGAAGCAGCTCCACTGTGGGTTTTGAAAGAGAAGTGCTTTAAAGCACACATCCCCCTGCGATCCAAACAAAGCTAAGGCTTCCAGAGATACCTGCAAGGCTTCCCGGCATCAGCAGCACGCCTTGGACCCTTTTAGTTTACGGGGATATTTTCACAGCACAGCTCTCTGCCACACAGGAAGCTTCTTACCCCGACTCTGCTGAACTGAGCTGACAAAACCTCTGTGCCAAATTGCACTTGGTGTTGACTCTTAAACATCCCTCTGCAAATGTCGGCTGCTGGTAATGCAGAGGCTCAGTGCAAACACATGGAGGGAGCTCAGGGGCCCTAATCTGCTCTTCTTTGATTCCTCCATAAAGACTGGGACCATTGCAGAGACTGAACACAGCCTTTTCCTCCGTGTTCCTACCACCAAAAAAGGAGATAGGAGGCAACAAAGCTAAACACCCTGCTCTCTCTGAGATCAGTTAGCTCCCAGACTGGCCTGCTGACGAGATGATGAAGCCCATCATGGCCACAGCAGTGGTACAGCAGGCATGTGTTTGCTGAGTATTGAACCTGAGCTGGTCCTACAGAAGGAGTTTGGACCTAGGTGCAAGATACAGACACTGCACATCTGGCCATGCCTCTAAGCACACATCTGAAGCCCTTCTTGAAACAGTCCTGGAGAAATAAGGAGGAAAGTAACTCTTAATTTGCTTCTCTGCCACTATTCTGGTTACTGAATGCTAGCAAACTCTAATACCTCAGGCAAGGCCGTGTTGAGTGCTGGTATCTGGCAGCTCTGTCACAGAATTTCCTGCTACAGTTTGTCAAAGGCTACAACGACTGAAACATTGAGGGATGCAAGCGTTTCAGTGCCTTGTACAGCTTAGCATTAGATGCATTAGGGAATTGCTTCTATATATTCTTTTGATTGTAAGTGTCATCGTGATCACTGCAGAATTTTAATTCCATTGCTCTATAATGCATGATGCAAAAAATAGCTCTAGTGTCTGCTCACATTTGCAGGTACAAGCTAAAGTAGCCAAGGTGTCAATCTCAAGCTGAAGAAACGAGGGCAAGCGATCCCATTGCTTGAAGAGCACCTTGTTCTGCCAAAGTGAAAAGCATTGGCTCCAAACACAGCCCAACTGTCTGCTTCCCTGGCCAGGGAGATTTTTTGGAAACATTGAGGGATGCAAGCGTTTCAGTGCCTTGTACAGCTTAGCATTAGATGCATTAGGGAATTGCTTCTATATATTCTTTTGATTGTAAGTGTCATCGTGATCACTGCAGAATTTTAATTCCATTGCTCTATAATGCATGATGCAAAAAATAGCTCTAGTGTCTGCTCACATTTGCAGGTACAAGCTAAAGTAGCCAAGGTGTCAATCTCAAGCTGAAGAAACGAGGGCAAGCGATCCCATTGCTTGAAGAGCACCTTGTTCTGCCAAAGTGAAAAGCATTGGCTCCAAACACAGCCCAACTGTCTGCTTCCCTGGCCAGGGAGATTTTTTGGGAGCAGGAGTGCAGCAGCCAAGCCATAAGGGGCAAGAAGAGATCAGAACAGCTACAAGAGGAGGTAAAAGTCACCATATTGCTTTATTTCAAGCTGAGCAGTTCCTGCATCTCTCCGGAGCGAGTCAGCGAGAGCAGCCCCAAGAGCAGCACTGGGTTAAACAATGTCCTATTTTGCACTGGGGAGTTACGCAAGAACGGGCCCAGTCACACGGGCAGAGGGAAGCAAAGAAAAGGCATTATTCACAGCCTGACATGGATGAACCCGGCTTAACACATGCACTTGGAAAACACTGTTCTCTCTGTTCAGTAATATTATTTCACATTCCACTCGTTTTGATAACCTTTTCCTTCCCCATCTACCCCGCTGACTGACTGGAAAGTCGACTAATGCCTTCTCCTGAGATTGGCCACCACGCATAACTGCAACAGATTTATCTTCTTTCTTTCAAGTTACCACTGAGTCTCATTCTGCAATAAATAATTTACAAATACATACACTAAAAAGCTAGAGGAATTTAGAAGGGAAGTCTTTCTGCTTCAGTTTACAGGGAAAGAGCACCAGAGCAGGGATTACTTCCCAGAATTTACCTAATACCATCAGATTGATATGGCACCAATATGCAGCCTTTCACTCAGACCAAAAAAGGCCAGCCTTAGAAAGGGATGTAGGAACAGGGAGTTTCAACCCTCTCTTTCAAATAGTAAATCATGTCTCTGTATCCTTTTGACATGGCCTCAGCTTTGAAAAAAAAAAAATCTAGGGCAAGTCCTAATTTTATCTATGGAAAAAAAAAAACCATTTTAAAATCACTTTATATAGATAAAGCAGAGATGATCCCCCTCTGTCAGAAAAACCCACATGTGGTGTTACATCTTAAACCACCCTGTAGATGCGCTCATCTGTAAAGTGCCCCAGCAAATGCAGGGGGCAACAAAGGATCAGATCCACATGGTGAATTTACAACTAATAGCCAAACAAATTTCGAGACCACAGAGGAATTTTTTCTGTTGATATGCAATAGCACTTTTACTGTTCTCATTTCTAACAGCATCCTTGATGCTCTCTGCTACGCAAGCTCCGTGATGCATACTAGAAACAGCTTAAGGTCCCACAGATGTAAAGAAAAATTTGTATTTGACAGCTTCCCTGCACTGAACTAAGAATAGAATGAGGCAGACCTCTTGAGGAGCAAGAGCTACATTTCACAAGGGCTATCTTGGACTAGAGAAGGTTCCTTACCTATAATTCAGTTTCCTTTCTTGTCCCTGCAACAAAGCGTTTGGTATATTTGAAGCTTTAGCTTTTTGTTTCCCTTGCTTTTTTTGTTTCCCTCTTTGTTTAAAGAAACAAACCTTTTCAAATGTTCCGGCTATTTTCTATTTATATGAATCAAACTCAGACAAGACAAAACTGCCTTTACACACTGTAACGTGGTGTTTCTATTTTACGTTACTGTATCTCCTGACCAGATATTTAACACCAAAAAGAGAAGACATTTAAACACACTTTCTCCCCCTCTGTTGCTTCCTTAAGTTACAGGAACATCACTGGACTTCCTGGGACCACAAACAACCACCCTGGTAATACTTCATGGCAAGCAATAACATGGGGATGTCTTCAAAGTGTTGCTCAAAAAGCAAGAAGTTTAGTTCCAACAGCGTGTGGCAACTGCAAGCACCCCCCAGGAGCCCTCACAGCCTGACTGCCACAGGATCTAGGGGGTTAGTTAAAACTGATCTTACACAAACTCATTTAGAGCCATGGCAGCTATGTTAAACTCAGAAAACCGACTGTATCCCTTTAAATTTTTTTATGCAAGTACATGTCTCTGCAGGGATCTCCTTATTTTTAATTAACCTACCAACTGACTTAAGCGAGGCGTTAAGCCTCAGAGGTTTTATCCTACCAGGGGGATTGAGGAACTAAACCGATCACACCCATGTTTACAAACAGTCTCTCCCCCCTCTCCTTTACCTTCTCAACATCGGCTTTTGTAACATTGATGTCAGCATCCATTTTCTCAAAATACTGCTGTGCTCGATCAGCTTCTTTGCAATCACGTTCAAACCGCCTTTTACTCTGAAAAGCAAAAAAAAGAAGCCTTCATTATGGGAAAGAAACATGATACCAAAATCTGCCTAAAATCAATACCTGCCCCTAAAGTGATCTGCTGTAACAACTGTCAGATTTTAGGACTCACTTGTTTACATTGGAATACATTTCCATACTAAAGAATTTCAAGAAACAAGGTTACCAGAAATACATTTTTTTGTTCTGTTCTCTTCAGGCAGCTTGATTCTATCAACAGCACTAGCATTTCAGTGATTTTCCCTGTTAGCATCTTTTCTGCTCTAGTAAAACAAATCACTTCCTTCCAGCACTTAACTCCCTCATTTTTATAACGCACAAGGGAGTTACTAAGATTCATGCAATTGGAAGTAGGACTTTTGGCTATTGATGTCCCCTTTCTTTATCCTCTCCTCTACTTACAGTCTCACTTTTCATTCAGCACATGAACGATTCCAATGTATTTACTTTTGAGAAATAGCACCTCACTCAAGAGACAGTCCCATTAAGTTTATTCAGGCAGTATGAAGCCATTCAGCTCACAGTGGAATATCTGAGTAGGAGCCTTAGGGACCCTGCATTTCCAGCCACCCTGAGCACACTTCTCAAGTCATATCAAATGATACTCCTTGTGATAAGGCACACATCCCACAGAAAGCCAGATGTACTATGAAAACAGACTTTCTCATGTCTACCAGTTTATTTAAGACAGTAGAGTTTTAAAAATCCCATTTCTATAGCTTTTATCCATACCCCCTTCTTTTTCCAAATACAATGTTTGGAACCATCTCTATGAAAACAGTATAAATATGACTTAAATGTCACATCTGAGGAAACTTCCACTTACTGCTTCAAGTTGTTTCCAGCAAGTTTCAATATGTTGTTGTGCCTTTCTGCCATCGTGGAAGTGCTGTTTAGAAAAAAAGAAAAAAAGAAAACATTTTGAACAACAAAAGAAGCAGCAGTCAATTATGCTCAAGGAGTTCCAGAAAAAAAAAACCAAAACAAAACAGAAATGATTCTGACAGCTGTGTTCTGCAACACTGGGAAGCTGAGCAGGTGTATGATGACTATCTAATGTCTCAGCAGGCTGCAGATGTATATTTGCATCAATTATAGTGGTTAGTTAGACTAAGGCTAATTAATCCCTTTAGCAATTCTACCTTGCATTGTTCACTGTATCTCGTAATTATTGGTTTCCCATATCACGAGATCTGAAGCACTTTTATCTGAAGAGTATTTCTTTGGTTACTGACTGAACACTAGCTCTAAATTAAAATCTCTCTCGACATGGAATTTACCAAGATGCCCTTGATTGGCACATTCTAACAACTGATGTTTGTCCTGATTTTCATTCAGGCTCAACATAAAACCCTGTTCTTCTTGTCACTGGCTGTGTGTGCGAGGGCAGCTGTTCATTTCTTGAGAAGTATTCAATTCTTTGGGTTCCTCCAAAAAACCTGCCTCTCCCACTCCCCAACACTAAGGTGTTACAGAAGTTTTAAATGCAAGGTATCAGCTATATACTAAATGACAGGGATCATCTCCTGACACGCCTTTTGGAGCAAGACTCTTAATTGCCGTTGGTTTAATTAACCATTCTTAGTCCTTACACAATGCTCTTCACCAGAGAATCTAATATGCTTTAGATATTACCCCCTCCATCTTCCATATGCCTCCCTTTTCCTCAGGATAAGCAATTCCATCAAGATCATTGCGTAAGTCAATGACCCGGCTCTAAATAGGACGATAACGCAGCCCCCAAGTGACTGCTCCTCTTACAAACCACCTTGTAAAATAAATAATACAGCAAACTCCAAATAGGAAGAGAGATGCTTTTCTGCTGTGTTATTTACAGGCAATTTAGGATGTTTTATTCAAATACGGGGTACAGTTTCATGCAGTAAACTTGAAAAATAAAGGTCTGATACTGCCAGATAATCCAACTGCAGCTCACTGGTGTTCAGGCATTCTCAGGCCCGTGCATAATCAGACATTAGCTAGATCTTAAGCAATATGATATCAACAGTCTATTAGGGTAGAAAAGCTCCAATTTCGGAACAGTAGCCTGCCACAAGCTGCCAAAGTTAGAAAAATGTGCCTGCGAGCACTTTATAAATTGGCAGCTACTTGGCTTCCTGCATCTTCCACTAAAACAACTGGCATTTTCCTCTTTGAGAGAGGCAGGTTTCTGGAGCAAATGTGCTGCCCGCCTGCCTTTCTGGCGCCACCAGACACACCAGCAAAAAGCCCCCAAAATGCAATTTTGTCATGCCTTGTCCAATAGGTTTGCAGTGATTAAAAAATGATCACAACAACCTTCAACTTGTCTGCGAGAAAGAACACCGCCGCAATATCCCGAGTGCTCTGGACAGTACTCCCTGTGGTCCCCAACGCTGGCTGTGGAGGAGCGATGCTCAGAGATGAACACAGGGACACTCTGTAGCCTTAACTTTCTGCAGAGGGTTTATCTCTGCACAGAAATTCCCAAAGCAGAGAAGAGAGGCTCGGATCCAGCCATCTCAGGGTGCTCAGGGACAGCCGTGAACCCTGATGGTACTGGAGCCGTTCAGCCCCCTGCCCGCCACGCTGGGCGCCTCCAAACACACAGTCACTGCATCATGACATTAAAAAACTCCAGACAGAACTGTAAAACTGCAGTGGGGAAAGGCTCCAAGCGGGTTTCAGTTCCTTTTGTAGATCCCCATTTCCTTTCAACTCTGCGTGTGACAGACACTGCATCTGCCCTGCCAGGGGGCTCTGGATCCCTCCTCCTTTCGGGCTTCCTTTTGTAATCGGAGTTTAGGAAAACAGTCCCAAGGAACAACTGTAATTTAACACTACATTTTTCAACATTTTGCTAATGAGCATGGAATTCACGAATTATCTTTTGCAGAATTACTTGGCTGTCTTCATTCTGCACCCCCTGCCTCCACGATTCCCTCTTCTCCGCCTCCGAGTTTGCCGGAGCAGCATAGGAAGGGACTGATTTGGGAGTAGCTGGTCTGCGTGAAACCTAATACTGTCAATGACCCAAAAACCTCAGGAAAACAACACGTTGGGTTAATTTAACAGAACACAATTGCATATAGGGGCTGAAGGGTGAACTTGGAATCAAAAGCGTATCAGATAACAGGACTGCCCTGAGCTTGGATTTTTAAACCACTTTGTAGTTACTCAACAACGTAATTTTCATTTTGCACAAGCCATCCCTGTTATTCCCAAGTTATCTTCTCTGTAAAATAAACTCTACAAGCTGCTGGAAGTACATATGAAAGACACAGTAAGCCTGAGTAAGGCTGCATGTTGTGCAGATTTTACTACATTTTGCTTTTTTTTGTTGTTATTGTTTTGAGCAGCTCTTTCACAGAAACGGAGAACTGCGATGTAAAATGAGCATTACTGAAGACCATTAAATCGTGACACAGAGGAACTGATGTCAAGAGACAGTTTGATAAATACAAGTGTAGGACATTTTGGAGATTTCACCACAATTTTGCTTTTTCTAGTTCAACCATTTCCTAAATATATTTAAACCCCTCAATTCTCATTGCCTTATCCCGTATATATATCCTTGCATGAGATAAAGCTATGCATGAGAACAGATGTAATACACATTGACAGCACTTCTACTTTTACAAAGCTTTTGCCCTCCAAGGATTGATTTCTGCCTTGTAAAAATGCATTTTCATAGAAAACAACTAAGTGGTGCCTTCTAACGACCCGTATTTCTTCACTGCCCCCATTTTATGGGTAAGAAAATTGAGGCAGTACGGTTTAGTGATCTGCTTGAAGTCATACAGGAAGCCTCCAGTTTCCTCAAACCCTGAACTACCTTCAACTTCCGCAAACTCATTTCCTTTACTTCACAATCTTCTTAAATAGCAAGTGTCTATTAGCCCTCCCCCCCCCCCCCCCCCCAAAAAAAAAAAAAAAACCAAAAATAACTTTAAGATAAACTCTTCCTTGATAAGGTTTCAAAATGCACGTTCTAATTTAAGAAAGAAATTATAATCAAATGAAATAATTGATTATTCTACACCGGATGATTCAGCAAATGGGAACACGACAAATGATTTAGCAAATGATACTGAAAACTACCATTCTCAATTAGTCACATGCATTTCAGCAGCACAGAGCGACAAATTTAGAGCAGCTGATACAATATAGAATGTTTTATTTTTCCCCAAACCGAGTGCCCAAACTCAAGTACCCTGAACAGGCTTTCTATTTAAAAACCCCAGATTATGAGCAAGATACGGAAGCAATGAATCACACTTCAAGTGTGCCAGTGAGGCGTTTGCAGCAGCGGTGCTGGTTGTTCACATGCATGATTTCCTCCAGACTTTTTGGCCATACCCACAGCATTCAAAACATACATTAGTAACACAGTAAAGTGGAAGTTTTGCTTTTATTAGCATTCAATAGTTGATCTCCCTAAATCACCTTTTAGCAATCACCATGCCAACTTTGAGATTTCCCTGAAAAACCTTTTATTCAGGTATTAGACCTACTAAATAACTTAAAACATAGTAGCGTTACAGGTCATGTACTGGCTACATGACCACAACTGTCCCTTTTTCCTGTGTATTAAAGCCCAATGCAGTTCAGATGCTGCAGGGTGCTCTGAACAACCCGTAACTGGCCATGTTTTGACTGGACACCTCCATCCACTCACAGGATAAGACCCAATAATCTAAGTTTTATGTGATCTTAGGAGATTTATTAAGACTGGGACATTTTCAGCACAGTATTAAGTTGCTTATATGAAGACTCTGGATTAGATCAACTGTTAGAAAACATTCAATATATTCTTAAAGCTCCCAGCTGCAGGAATATTCAAGGAAGAAGAGTTTTAGGAAGAGCAGGAAATAAGGAATATTCAGCTACAGGAGAGGAAGAAGAGTTTTAGGAAGAGCAGGAAATCCACATACAGACACACCGTATGTGTGAGTTTCTTCCTTTTTAAACCAAGTCATACCAAGCGGTGTGCTCTCCTCATTACCACGCTGACTGTGATCCTAACAGCTGGGGAGAAATCCTGGCTGCTGTGCAAAGACAAAACTCTCATTGACTTTTGTCAGGCTCAGATTTCACCAGGGGTTGATCAAAACCCTGGGCACAGGGAGGGAGGTACCTACAATCCAGCGCCTGTTACTGCCAGCCCCATTACAATGAGCAGCAGTGGGGGATTTTGGCAAGACTTTCTTGGTATGCAATAGGGTTTGCGTAGCCACACAGCAGACAACAAAAGCTTGTTAGAAGATGACTCTTATCTTCTTTCTGACCTTCTGAGAGGAGTAGTAGAAAGGCAAGGCATAGTTAAAAACATCTTACAAAGGACAACACAGTTCAATAATTTTTCTGAGGAGTTCCCGGGTAGTTTTAAATGAAAGAATTGTCTGAACCATGTAGACTGTCAGTGTGACAACAGGGCTGCTCATGCTGGATCAAAAACTGACCACATGAAACATTTAAGATACAGCCAGCTGTGTTTTTCTAAATGAAGTAACCAGCAATTGATTACATGGTTAAACTTAAGATTTGCCTATCTAAAATCTGCTAATACTAGAAACAGTCAGAAAAATAATCTTAATTTATATGCATAGTATATGGTTCATCTGACAACATCCTATTTAAGCATTTTCAAAAGAGATGTATGACAAGGCTGCTTCATTCCTAATCTTAATTTATATGCATAGTGTATGGTTCATCTGACAACATCTTATTTAAGCATTTTCAAAAAAGAGATGTATGACAAGGCTGCTTCATTCTCTTGTCTGTTTTCAAACTAGATAATATAACAGTGAAAAAACAGTTACCTTTGACTTCTCTAACTGTCACTCTCAGCTCGTATTGACAGCCAACATAAACACAGCCCTAACAGTGTAGAACTTGCTATCTCCATTT